AAATTTTATCCAATGATGGGATTCAAAAGTACTTCGAATAGTAATGCCTATGAAATTTTTAGGTGAGAAGAATTTTTTTAAATACTACCAATGTATTAAAGTATTTATAAAAAGTTTTTAATACAATAAAATTTTTTTTCTTTAATAAAATAATAAAAATTAATTAAAAAAACTAAAATAATGCAATAAAAATGAGAAAAACAGGAAATTTTACCCAATGATTGGATTCTAAAAGTATTTCGAGTAATGATGCTTTACGAAATTTCTAGGTAAGAAGATTTTTTTAAATATTACCAATGTATTGGAATATTTATAGAAAATCTTCAATATAATAAAAATTCATTTTTCTAAATAAAAAATTAATAAAACAATAAATAAAATTTTTTAAAAAAATGAATAAAATGTGTGCACCAATATGATAACATTCTGTATTGCATGGATGACATAGTTTTTTTACGAAAAATAAATTTGATCCTCCGAGGATGAGATTCTAAGGTATTTCGAGAAGCGATGCCTATGAAATCTCTAGGTGAAAAAGAGTTCTTCTAATGTTACCAATGTATTGGAATATTTTAAGAATTATTTCAATAAAAAGGTTTTAATTTATTTTTCTCGAATAATATTTAAATATAAAAATCAATTCCCAATAAATGAAAAAATTAAAAAAATTATTTTTCAAACACTGAAAAAAGACCTTTTTTTTATGAAAATCAAAAGATAACATGTAGTTAATTGGTACCATTTTAAACGGGAGTTGTGGGGGTGCTAATCCTTTCCCACGCGTAACCGACTCTCGAACCCAGACTGTTACGCAAATCCTAAAATTATCATTTTAATAAATTTTAATTAATTTTAAGATTTCATTAAAAGGATAAATTTTAATAAGTGACCAATCGCAGCTAGCTAAAAAGATTGGTAGCGGCTCCGTTATTTTTTATTTTGTTTCCAAATTCATCGGGTGGACATAAAACCATTACGACAAACGTAGTTAACGGTCCGATCAACTTCAGTTCAGACGGTTTGGTGGTCTGGCTAGTTTGGCGGTTCAACACCGTCTAGTTCTGGTTCAGCAATTCGAGGACAATCCGGCTCGATTCAGATGGACCGATCAAAGGCTGAGGAAAAACGGGTCATCGGGTCGAGTGCGTGGACTCCGGGTTGGGTCACGAGTCGACGCATGGATCCTGAGAGCTAAAACGACATTGTTTTGGGATTTTATTGAAACGACATCGTTTTAGCTTTGACAATTTCTATAAAAGGCCCAAATAATTTTTTTTGTCATTTCCTACCTTTTTCTAAAAAAAAAAAAACACTATCTTTTTTTTAGCCAAATCGAGGGCCGGTGGTCGTCTGTCGTGCTCTTCGTCGATGGCGTACTCTAGCCGCCGTAACGGTTGTCAAAAAATCCTAAAATATACCCACAAACTCCTTTTCGACCTCTTGAACATAGATCCAAGCTTCTTTTGACCAAAAACAGCCTTGATCTGCATAGATCGGGGCTCAAACTTTCGATGTTATTTTTTTTTAAAACTAAAACTGATTTTTTTTGCTTGTTTCTATTTAGCTTCTCTGGCACTGGGTTCCTCGCCAAATAGGCGAGGATTATGATTTTTGTTTGAATTTTTTTTTGTAGGAAGATTTTTTTTATTTTGAAAACTTCTCTCTTTTTTTTTTTTTGCAGGATCCCCCTTTTTCTCGTTCAGATACAATGCTCTATTTATAGAGCAAAAAGAAGATCAAAATTCCAAAAAATCTAGGATTTTGGTGGCCTAAGATTAAGGTGGCCACCGACTGTCAAAACGGCTGTCGATGGCTATCAGGGAGCTGCCAAAAAAAATAAATGAAAAAGAAAAGAAAAAAATAAATAAAATGATAATAAAATGGTGTCTACAATAAATATAAAAGGCTTTATGAATTTATATTTCCGTAAGCTTTTAGAAATTTATAGAAATACAAATCCATAAGCTTTTAAAGACTTACAGAAATTCAAATCCATAAGCTTTTAAAGGCTTAGAGAAATGCAAATCTGTAAGCCTGTAGGTTTTCATTTCCATAAGCCTTTAAATTTGTAAATTTTCAGTTGAAATCGCCATTCAAATGACTTGCCTCATTGTTTATTTTGCACTCTTCATCCTAGTTTTCTTTAATGATTTTTAGAGTTTTTGATTAAAAAAAAAAAGTAGAGAAGAAAAGAAAAAAAAAGGAAGTAGAAAAAAGTGAATGAAAGGTTAAAAATTAATACATTAAGTAATTTCATTTAAAGGTAATTTTATAATAAAAAACTTGGATGTGAAAAGAATTTTTGAGGATGTATTTAGAAGCACCATCCTTTATGTTACATCATATATAGGCGAAAACCTACGATTTAATGTAAATCAATTTATAGATGATCATTACTTATAAAAACATCTAACCATGCATATTTGAATATATGATTTGGAAATAGGAAAGCCCAACATCATAATATTAATTTGATTATTTTTTAAAAATTGTCATATTGGTGTTAATGAATTCTTTATTATTATTATTATTATTATTATTATTGTCATTCTTGGAAAAATGGAAAAGTTAGCTTGAATTCTTGATTTTAGTACTATTTCTCAAACTCGAGATTTATGTTGAAATTTATTTTGGCCATCATGTAATTATAAAGATAAAATTATTCCTTCATGAATGTTCAAAATGTTTGACTTTGGAAAAAACGTTTTTTTTTTTTTTTGTCTTTTTGCTTAAATATTGATTCAAGATTGTATCTTTAATTGCCGTCAAGGTCTTTGTTTATTATTTAAAGATACAATCATTATTAATTATATTAATGTAATACTTAATATTAAGATTGTATACTTAAAGACACAATGTTGAAATATTCAAGATTGTATTTAATTGATTATATTAATACAATCATGCTTATAAATATTGGAGATTTATGTTGAAATATTCACATGATCATTATTTTCCATGGCCGGCGTTAATATTAAAAGATTTTTTTTTTATTGTGCTTGGATCTTGACTTAGTTCAATAAACTTATCTCTTTAACTCGAGACAAAACTGATCATGGCCTCTAATTTTCATTATTTATAGGAAGAGCGATGAATTTATATTAGTGTAAAATTTTTTATTTTTAAATAATTTTTTAATAATTGATTTTAATAGATTCAAGATATGAAATTAAATTTTTTTTTACTTATGTGGAGATCAATTAGGAAGCTCAATAAGCCTTATGCTAAAAGCAAAGTTGAGATGTTATTTAATTATTTTTTTAAAATTGTTATTTTAGTCTTTCGTGAAAAACGTTTTTCAAATATCTAACTTGTTTTCATAATTTCCTCATAAAAAATTATTATTAAAGATTATATTCATATTCACTAGGAATTCACAACAAATTATATATATATGATAGTGAAATTTATGTATATAGTCCTTGGCACACCCACTATGTGGGTGAAATGATAAATAATTTTATTATTTTAATAAATATTAAAAAATTAAATGCATCTAAAACTATAAAATGGAGAAAAAGTAAAAATAACTAACGTAAAGTTTTTAAATATAGAGAAGAAAAAGTAAAACTAACTAACGTAAAGTTTTGAAATATAGAGAAAAAATAGACACAATTATTAATTTTTTTAATAAATAGTTTAAAATTGGCTCCTTTAACAAAAATTAAAAAATTATTTAAAATTTTATCATTTTATTTTAATTAATTGAGTTTTCGTGTATTTATTTTCATTCAGTCATTTAATTTTACATTGTTATAAAACGACCTCTCCATATAAATATACGGGAGATAGAGAGAATTATATATATATATATATGTATGTATACAAATAGGAGAGAGAGAATTTAGCATTATTAGTGGTTTAATTTTCGTTAATTAGTGTTTTCTATTACGAGCAAAGAAGGAAAACTATTATTAACATGATAATTAATACCAGTGCATCTATTAGGATGCATTTTACATGTAAATTTTTTTATTATAATTTTATAATTATTTAATCATAGTAAAAATTATATAAAGGTTCATTACTTATAAATGTAAATTTTATATAAAATTTTAATAAATTTTTATAATTTTAAATTATAATTACTTAATTATAATGTAATGATGGTAAATGATACAGTTCCATCTATTCGATTGATTGAGAAGAAAAACTGAGATAATTAAGCAAATAATGAATAAGGTCCAAACAGACGATAAATTTTGTAAACGATTTATATTAAATTTATAAATCGTTTGTTAATAAAAATTATTGAGAGTAAAAATAAGATTTAAATTTTTTAAAAAAAATTCAATTTTTTTAATTAACAGCTTGCTTTATTTTATTTAAGTTTATACTAATAGCATACCACAACTGAAAATTGATCCACCAACCCCTAGTAGCGTTGAATTTATATATAGCATTTGTATTGTGGCTATTAAGCAGAAGCAAAGTCTGAACAGATCAAATTTTTAAATTTAAAAAATGATACAATTTCATTTTATATGCCAAGGAAGTCTGAGTAAGAAGAAGTCGTTGAAAATTAATTGGTATGGTAAAGTAGCCGGATTTTGGATCGCCCATTTACAATGACGTTACTTGACCGTTTTCTATTGGTTTAGTTGGCGTAACAATTCCTTGGACTGAATCATTTGAACCAACAACTGGTTAATGTCAAAAACCAACCATTACAAACAAATATGTGATGTGTTAATAAAATATTAAAATTTAATTTTAATAGTCAGAATTTAAACTTTATGGATCTTCAATAAGGGTATGATCAAATGGCCATCAATCATCCTGATGCATGATAATATTTCTATCAATGAATGTGTTGGCAGTGACGCTTGGAGACTGGAGTTGGGACAAAGAGTAAAAATAAAAGAACTGGTTCGACGCAACTACATTTACCTATTTCCATCTACAGTTAGGATCGTTCGTCACACAGATTTTGCTGACCAGGTTCATTTATTGGTATATATAAACTCACAGCATTGAAAAATAAACTGCCAATTATCCATTTGCACAAAAGGCAAAGTGCAAAGAAAGAAAGTGGTCCAACCATGGAGCTGCCATTGCTGCCTTTGAAGATGATGGTTACGGTTATGTTGCTTGGATTCCTTGGATTGCTCGTACGCTTGTTTGAAGCTCTAATTTTGAAGCCTGAAAGGCTTCGTTCCAAGCTTCGAAAGCAGGGTATCCAAGGTCCTCGACCATCGATCTTGCTTGGAAATATCAGTGAAATGAAGAAAATTCAATCAAACGTGTCCAAGTTGTCACGAGAAGGAGAAGGAGTGATAGTCCACAATAGTTTTTCTGCTGTGTTTCCATTCCTGGACCAATGGAGAAAACAGTACGGTATGAAATTTGTACCTTTTAGCAATCGATTTCCTTCTTTCTGCTTATAAGGTTAATTTCAATATCCCGTTGTTTAACGTTCTGATATATAATTTTGTACAGGTTCAAGATTCATGTTTTCACTTGGCAATATACAGATTCTGCACATCACCGACCCTGATGTGGTGAAAGAAATTATCATATGCACTTCAATGGATTTAGGGAAGCCTTCCTATCAACGCAAGGAGAGTGGCCCTCTTCTTGGCCAAGGAATTCTGACTTCAAATGGCGAAATATGGGCACGTCAAAGAAAAATTCTTGCTCCTGAACTATTTATGGATAAAGTCAAGGTACTCTCCAGTGATGAAAATTTAGACTTAGAGCTAGTCCTGCTGCTCAAAGGGGTTAAAAGTTCAGTTTCCCCTGTTTTTCTTTTTTCTTTGGAAATTTAATTTGACAGTCCTTAACTTTAACAAGCTACCGCAATGTCTGCCTTTTTCTACAAACACTTTCGTTTACATTTGTTGTTCTCTTTACGTGTAGCGTATGATGAACTTAATGGCCGAGTCCTCAGTAACACTAGTAGAATCCTGGAATAGTAAGATCGAAAGTGAAGGTGGAGTTGCAGACATTATGATTGATGATTACATGAGAAGCTTCTCTGGAGATGTCATCTCCAGAGCTTGTTTTGGAAGCAATTATTCCAAAGGGGAAGAGATTTTCTTAAAGCTTAGAGCTCTAAAAGAGACCATGTCCAAGAAAACGCTCCTCGGTGGGATTCCTGGAATAAGGTTAGTTCAACTTTCTTCTCCCTGATTTCTCAAACAATTTGACAAATAACTGAATAAAACTGATGGAGATAAATAATTGAATCTGAAACCCTTTTTTTTTTTTTCAGATATCTTCCAACCAAGGCCAACAGGGAAGCATGGAGATTGGAGAAAGAGATTCGGGGATTAATCTTGAAGGTAGTCAAGGAAAGAAAAGAAACAAAATCGGAGAAGGATTTATTGCAAATGATCCTTGAAAGTGCTACAAGCAGTGATTTAGGAAAAACCGAAACAGATCGATTCATTGTCGACAACTGCAAGAACATCTATTTGGCAGGCTATGAGACTACGGCTGTTTCAGCAACATGGACGCTGATGCTGTTGGCCTCAAACCCAGAATGGCAAGATAAAGCTCGGGCAGAGGTTCTTGAAATTTGTGGGGGTGAATTACCAGATGCTGACATGCTCCGCCAGATGAAAATAGTAAGTATAAAAATGAGTAGTCATTGTTTTCTTAATTTACTTTTCATTTTACTGATCATATAGGCCTCGACATGCATATAGGAGTTCTTTAATTGGAAATTAAAGCAGATGTTCAGATTTTTTAATCCATAGACATGAATTCCTGAAGATGCTAGATGTTGAAAGCAAATAGATAAGGTCAGGATCAAGTTAAGGATATTGACAGAAATGGATTCAACCAAACCAGGTAGAATGAATAAAGTGTATAATAAAATGATCAGAAATGTTTGACTTTGACATATGTACATTGATTGGCATTGCACAATAAAGAATTTTTTTTTTTTTTTTGTTTCAAGGGAGTAGAGCCTTACATCAACAGGGGAGAGGGGGAGAGGGGGAGAGGCTGGGGTCGAACCCAACCCCCAGCCTCTCCTCAACCCTATGTTTTTTTTAAGGCTTACTTGATCATTAGGTCAAGCAGCTGAAGACAATAAAAAATCTTTTTATTTGAATATTAGGGGTAACATTTTGAGTGTTAAAGCTTAAGTGTTTTTATTAAGTTATTATAATATGAAACTTTTACCTTAATTTCAATTTATATAATTATTTTTACAAAATAATATTTAATAAATTAAAATTTTAAATGTCAACACATTTTTAAAAATTTATACTTTGTTTGCTTATAACTATAAATAGAAAACAAAATGTAAGTTTTTTATGTGGATGATTAAAATAAGAATTCCAACGTTTGGGGAAAGGTAAACAAATGGTTGCAAATATTATTTAATTTATCTTACTCCGAGAATCTTGACAAATTACTAATACTGTTTACTTATATAACAAACTAATTTTATTTCTAGGCATTTCCTTTTCATTAATTGTTTTGGGTCAATGTTAACAAATGATAAATTCTTTTGATGATGGACTGTACCTTTTTGAAGTTCTCCCAAAAAATTTAATGTTGAGGACATGATTTTTTATTGGCAGTTGACAATGGTGATCAATGAGTCGCTACGCCTTTACCCTCCAGTCCCGATCATGTCCAGGGAACTACTCGGAAACATGAAATTTGGAGATATCCATGTGCCTAAAGGAGTTACTGTTTGGACATTGGCGTTGGCACTTCATCAAGATCCTGATATTTGGGGACCTGATGCTGATATATTCAACCCTGAAAGGTTTGCCAATGGCGTCGCTGGTGCATGCAAGCTTCCTCATGTATATATGCCATTTGGGATTGGACCAAGAATCTGTTTGGGCCAGAATTTTGCTATGGCGGAGCTCAAGATACTTCTTGCCCTTATTTTGTCTAACTTCAAACTCTCCCTCTCACCAAAATATATACATTCTCCAACAATAAGATTAGCAACAGAGCCTGAACATGGAGTGAACCTCCTGCTTAAGAAGCTATAAGCCATCAGCTGCTCTTATTATTTATCACATACTTATTTGTGGTATTGAGTTGTACCAGGATTGGCAATATAGAGTGGTGGGTCGTTTGGTGTTTGATGATCAAATAACAAACGCAAATTAATATCATGTATCTTTTTTTTTTTTATCAGATATATATATATATATATATTTATATGTGAATCTCGTGTGCTGGCTGACACTGAAAAAAATTAATTTCAAACAAGATTACCCTGAAAATTAATCTCTTGTGATCTCAGATTCGAATTGTTCTAAGATGCTGAATTCAAAGTATCTCCGTCCCTGGACTGCTCGATAGTGATTGGTGGACAATCTAGCAATCCAAGTGAGGCCATAACCAATAAACTATCTTTTCTTAGGGATAATTACAAAAGATACCGTCTTGTACAATTTTTTATTAGTTTGTTCATTCGAAAAATGTAATTACCAAAACGGAAATGCTAGACTGAAAATTGATGAAAAGGAAATCGTATTTATCATTTTATGCTGATCACTAATGCCCGTTAAAATAAATAGGAAAGTAACTTTTTTTCTTCTACAATCACTAATGGGTTATGAAACAAAAAAAGAAACTTTCGTTTTATTTTCACCAAATTTGCAAGACTTACAAATCTCACTTTTTTTCTTTTCCTTTTGTCTTTCTTTTAAAGCACCTGCGTCGTTTTTTAGCTATATTATTTTTCTTAAAATCTTTTTATTTTCTTAGTTTTATTTCTTCTTCTTTATTTCTTTTTGTTTTTTTTAGTATGCCTTGCATCCTTACTTCAGTATGAGAGTGGAACACCTTATTTCTATTTCTAGTAAATGTTTTCTCCTTTTCCTGGTTATGAAAAATTTTAAGTAAAAATGGTCTATTTTATAAGCAAGAATTAATTACACTAAATAATAAAAATAATTATTAAATAAATTATGATTAAGTTTATAATTATTAAAAAATATGATAAATTTTTTTTTCAAAAATAAAACATTAATTTTAGAATAACTAAGAAATTTTAAATATATTTTAAATAAAAAATAGAATTTTATGTTGATTATTTAAAAATATATATTAGCTTACGTTCAAAAAAATGTAGCCTAATAAAAAAAACCTACATTTCTAGGTAAAAATATAATTTTTTATCAATAAAAATAAAATCAATTAAATAATAAAAACAACTATTGAATAAATCATGATTATTTTTATTATGAAAAATATGATAAATTTAATTTTAGAAATAAAAAACATTAATTTTTGGATAATTAAAAAAATTAAATATTATTTAAATAAAAAAATAAATCATTTATTATGTTAATTAGACATACAACTGTATCATGAATAGCACTCTAACATATACATATAATTAGATCGACTTAGATATACATATTATATATATATATTTATAATTATACCTAAATATACATATCAAGCAAATTTATATATATATTTATGTATCTTATAAGTATTAGATGTACTATATACATTTTGCTTTCACCTCATCCTTGTATCACGGATCTTAAGAAGGAGTCCTGAATCTCACATCGAATATAAAATGAGGGTTACTGGAATATAAAAGAGTTCACACCATCTCTTCCTTGTGAGGTGCCTTTTGTAGGATAAAACCGTGAGGTCAGGGGGTCAGGACGGACAATACCTCATAAGAGTGTAAATCGTGGCAGGTAGGCTGATTTAGGACACCGGATGAGTGGATGTCCGGGTCTCGAAGTTGCACGGATTCGAAGCTTAAGTCTCGACCCGTGACACTTGCACCACCATAATTTTCTTTCACCTCATCCCTGCATCATCGTATTATCCTGAAGCACTATATGTACATATATTGTAGTAATTTCATGAAATGGGAAATTGCATTCTACTTAAGTTACTAATATAGAAAATAACTCATAGTCATAGTTATGTACGTAGTATTAAAACTATTATACATTATGTTTTTATTATATGTATATTTGTTAGGTTAGAGGAAATTAAGGAAGTTTCATAGAGTAAACCAAATGAGGGATAGTTGTTGAAATTTTGCAGGAGATTATTGAAAGCATTTTTGATTAAAAATATCTTAAATAATTTTATTTAATTTTTGTAAGGGATAGTAAAAGAGACTTTTACTGACAGAATTTGACTGTCAGTAAATAATCCATACAAAAAATTTCAATAATCTCTTCAATAGTCTCTCTCCAAAATTTTTTGAATGGATTATTAAAAACGTTTTTGATCAAAAACACCTTCAATAATCCCATTCAATTTTTTATAAGGCAATAGTTTTTTTTTTTTGAGCTTATACTAACGGTTACGTTAATATCTGTCAGTATATAACATATTTATACTGATGGCTAGTCATATACCATTAGAAAAAGTTTATTTATACAACGGTTAAATAAAATATTGGTATAAGTATGGTATATTTTGATGGTATTAAAAATCTATTAGTCAAAGTATCTTTTAGTTACAAAATTTGACCGTTAGTAAATAACCCATACAAAAAATTTTTGTATAGATTATTGAATGTGTTTTTGACAAAAAACGTCTTCAATAATCGCTCTTCAAAATTTTTTGAATGGATTATTAAAAGCGTTTTTGGCCAAAAACACTTTTAATAATCCTATTTAATTTTTTGTAAGCAATTGTTTTTTGTTTTGAGCCTATACTGACGGTTACATTAATAACTATTAATATATAATATATTTATACAAATGGATAGTCATATACTATCAGAAAAAATTTATTTATACTGATAGTTAAATAAAATATTAATACATATATGGTATATTCTGACGATATTAAAAATTCATCAATAAAAATCTTTTTTACTAGACAAATCAAAATTCCTAATGAAACTAAACCTTAACTACGCATGATGAAAAACTTCAAGTGGTCATACTTTATAATTTCAAAACACAAAAATTTGAAGCACAAAAAAGAATCATCATGAATTTTAAGTGAAAATTTTATTAGTGATTGTCAAAAGCAAACATGGATTTTCGTAAACCCAAACTTGGATCTATGTACTAATACATTCAAATTTGCCAATTGATTGAGGATTTTAAGAGCTTAGATAGCAAGGTTTTCACAATATATATTTAGTCACTAAAGGAAGAAACATGAATTTTAGGCAGAGATTGCAAAAGACAAAAAGGAGAAGGCACATACCAACCGGCATTGAGGAAATATCATGGAGCTAAAACAATGGTGGTTGAAGCAACGACGAACGCGATGACTTTGCTGGCAAATGAGTGGTAACTGTAATGGCTACTGTAAAGAGAAAAAAGACCGAGAGCAGTAGTAGTGAGTAATGGACTCTTCCTTCGATGCATATATATATATATATATATATTTGGACAAGTTCTACTTTATTTATACAAAGAAAAGTAGAAGTTTGCTGCAATACAACTACAATACAACTGCAACTAGTATAGACTAACGTTCACTATTTACATAGCAGTCAATAATGCAACTGAAGTTGGACATGAGCAAGGGAGGAGTGGCTGTTCCTTGAATCTATAATGCTGAAGATGGGTTTCAGGAGCTTAATAGTCATTTTAATGAAATAAACACCAATTAAATTCTTTGTTGACCATTCTCCAACTCATCAACTTGTTGGCTTCACATGTGTCTGTCCACATGTCTAATTTTTACCATTTGTTAAATAAAAAGAATTCCTAATACCAAAATTGAAAAGGAAATCCCAAATTGAGAAAAAAAAATTAAAAACGTAAAAAACTTATAAAACCAAAAAATCCTTTTTCTGCCGATCTTTGCCACAATGCCTAACTCTGCGTCATCAAACCTTTCTTTTCCATGGAAATTAACCCACAATGCCCAACCCGTCAGAACAGTTCAATATATATATATATTATCAGCATCAAATTTCAAAGACAATTAACTTCCAACAAAATAGCCCGAAATAGTTTTCTTTCTTAAAAGATCACAACTTTACCCACAAAAAAAAACCACTCAACTGAATCTTAGTCAAAATAAAATAATTAAACCATAAAAACTCTAATTTTTTTTTAAAAAAAGATTTCCTAGAGAAAGTTAAAAGATCAAAAAGTATATTAAAGAATAATATTGAATAACCCTAAAAAAAAGAATATAGGGACCATAATGAGAGCTATCTCGAGAGGAGGCATTAAAGAAAAATTAGAGCGAAACAGAGGGACTGAGTCAAGGTTCTCGACGACATTTTCATTTTGCGGGTTGAGTCGACTGAGTAAGATGTTGACCACCTCAATTTTGTGCTTCAGTGCATTTAGAACCAACTTTATGTAAGCATTTTGCGAGATCTCGTACTTCAACTCAGCCACCATTCTGTGAGACACCATATTTGTTTTCAGTATAACGTCTTTTCTATCATTTTCTTGTTTGTTTCAAGGTAATTTTGAGTTGATTTCATTAGAATTTTTTTCAGGGTAGGGAAAAAAACAGATCAGGGATTTTTGAGTTTTGGGTGTTAATTTTTTGTCATTAGTTGTTTTTTTAAGTTGGAGAAAATGACAAGCATGATTTATTGAAAAATATTAAAATTTTAATTTTAATGATTAAATCCAAAGTTTAACATATTTAAGTATAAAAAAAAGTTTTATAAGCGATCGAAAAATAAAAATATAGTACTGGTGTTACCACTACCATTGAATATTTAAAGTTTACGCTACTTTTTTTTTTTATTATTATTCAAAGGGGACAAAACCCTACACTAAAAGAAGGGGGGAGGTTGGAGTTTTCGATATCTTCTTTTAGATTGTCTTTGTCACTAGATCAAACAATTGAAGACTACGCTACCTTCTTTACTAGATAGTGATGGACTTTCCACGACGAGCTCATGTGCCTAATACTTTCTTTTGCAATAACTAGGTGGATTCTTATTTTTCTCTTCTTTCAATTTGCAATTTTTTTCCTCACTTTTCAGTAGCTTTTTTAATGACTTTTATTTTAAATTTTAATGTGGGTCACTTTGTACAATTTATATATTTGGCTTAATTTATGTAATTTTAGATTAATATTTTATTTTCCATTAAAGTGCATGTCCATAATTACCAACAAACTACAAATGCAGTTTTCTTTTAGACTTTTTTTTTTTTTTTAAAAAAATGAGAATTAAATTATAAAAATAAAAAATTAATCCCACCAGTTAATTTATTAAAATAAATAATTAAAATGTAAAATTTTTGAATTTTATGTTGATATAAGTGATCCCTCCCTATTGATAATTTTTTTCACTAATAAATTTGATAAAATCATCTTTTTATATTTAAAAAAAATTCTGAAGATAACGGATAGTAAGAACTATTATACTAGAAAATTGAAACTATTAAATTATCTATTCATACTAGAAAACTCATTAATGCAATCTCATATATTAAATTGTGGAAAGAGTATATATTTTATAGAATTTGAATATTGGATTTATTTGCACCATTTTGAAAAATCACTCAACAAAAAAATTCAGATCATGATTAGCTAAGAATAGTCCAAAGATAATTTTACCAACAAAAAAATTGGTTTTTAATGGTATATTTGGGGGAAGATCTTTTCCAATACTTAAAAAATAGTAAAATTTTTACTTTATTTAAGGATTAATAATGCACATTCACATAAATTTATAGTTGAAATTTAATGATTTTGAATTGAATATGAAAATAAATAAAAATGAATTAAAAAGGTAAAAATAATCTGAATGAGTATCAACTATAAATTTAGATGAAAATACATTATTGACCATTAAATAAAGTAATAGAAACTTTCACTGGCTTATATGCAAGCAAGCTTGCAGTTAACTACACGACCATCTGACAGCACCATTTGAGCCTAGTAAGTGATCAACATTTAAAAGACCATTTACGACGCATAAAAACTGTCCATCCCCCAAATTATCAACAATGCCTGGGAAGACCTGGTGTCACAGGCAACAAAGTTCTCTCTCAAAGTGAATATTGTGTTTTATGAATGATTTGGTCATTTTGTATTTTGTGCAAAGTCGGTTAATTATATGGGGGGTCTTGTCAGATCATAAGTTCAGGTTATAACAAGGATTAAGATTGATCTCAGGTTTTAGTTGCTTCAGATTCAGTTTGGATTTTGTATTGTTATTCAATCAAATTGAACCAAACGACTTTTGCACCAAGCAAGTTCTGATAAATATTTTTGCTATAGAAGGATAAAATTGAGAATTGGACAACTCAATTTAAAAGTTACAGAATTAATTCTCTTCCCAATAATTTCTTATGTAATTGATGCTTGCATCACCTATTGGGAGATTGGTCGTATTAAGCATTTAACGTAGAATCAATTTTTACTAGTTGAAAAGATAACAGAAAATGTAAGATTTTATCTGGGATAATAACACTTAATACTCTTCCTACTCTTGTGTAGATTAATATTAATAGTAAAAAGGAAAAAAAAGGTATACCACGTGGATAAACTCATTTGCATACAAATAGAACTTACCAAATTTAAATTTTAGTATCATATTAACCATTCAACATAAAAAAAAAAATTTAACTTTAGTAAGTGAACAGATATAACATAAATTCACAAGAAAACCATGACTTAATAATTTTATAAAACAATTAAGTACAAGATGCTTGCTTTATGAAATCTTATCAAGTCTTTATTATTATTTTTTTTTCAGATATGATCACAGTAAAACAAAGGTTTTATAGGGCTGAATAAGATGTTATGTTTGCAAAGTAGTTGACACGTTCAACACAATCTGAATTGTGAAAGTTTAATTATTGATCTAGAGCTTTCTGACGAGGAGATCCACTCCATACTGAGGCTCCATAATCAAATTCATAGCTGGAGAATGTTTATATCTTGGTGAGAGCGAGAAGCTGAAGTTTGACAATAAAAGAGAAAAAAGGACCTTGAGCTCTGCCATGGCAAAGTATTGTCCCAAACAAGTATGTGATCCTGTACCAAACGGCATATACACATGAGGAAACTTGCATGCCCCGGTAACTCCATTAGCAAATCTTTCAGGATTGAATTTATCTGCATCAGGTCCCCATATACTAGGATCTGTGTGAAGTGTGACTACCATTATCCAAAGATTAACTCCTTTAGGAACATTAATATCCCCTAATTTGATGTCCTCGAGTGCTTCCCGAGTCAAAAAACTGACTGGAGGATAGAGCCGCAGTACCTCATTAATCACCATTGTTGCCTGCCAAATAATCCAATAAAATTATTAAGCAAGATTCGGAATTTCATTTTCTTCTGACATTAATTAATACAAGTCCAGGATTGATGTGCACTTACTGTTTTCATCTTGAGGAGCATGTCGGCATTTGGCAATTCACCGCTACAAATATCAAGAATTTCTGCTCGAACTTTTTCTTGCCATTCTGGATATAAGGCCAATAGCATCAATGTCCATGCTGCTGTCACTGCACTAGTCTCATACCCTGCCAAGTACATGTTCTTGCAATTGTCAACAATGAAGCGATTTGTTTCATCTTGGCCTGAATTACTGCTTTTAGCACCTTCAAGGATAATTTGTAATAAGTCCATTTCTGATGATCCTTCCTCTCTTTCCTTCACAACCTTCAAGATTAAGGCGCGGATTTCTTTCTCTAATCTCCTCGATTCCGTATTGATCTTGATTGGAAGATATCTGAAATTTTCAAATTCAATAATTGCCATTAGACATCAGTTTTCTTCGAAAATTATTTTTCATGTTCTTTTCATTCAAAACGGTTCAAGTCAGGAAACTTGGAGAAGCAAAAGGAAACAAGAAATTGAACCTCGTTCCAGGAATTGACAGATACAAAACTCTTGCCGGTACGTAATCTATTAGAGCTCTAATTTTTAAGAAAATATCTTCCCCTTTGGAGTAATTGCTCCCAAAACAAGCTTTTGAGATAACATCTCCAGAAAGACTTCTTAAATAATCGTCAATCTTAATGTCAGCAACTCCACCTTCACTGTCAATCTTACTATTCCATGAGTTTACTATCGTAATTGAGGACTCCACCATTAATTTCACAAAACCCTACAGATGTTGACAGATCAGTTGTTGTCAAAACTATTCAAGGACGGTTGAATATTGCCAAATTAATTTGTATTAATGGAAAAATACCTTGACCCTTTCCATGTAAAATTCAGGAGCAAGGATTTTCCTTTGTTGTGCCCATAGTGCTCCATTTGCAGCTACTATGCCTTGTCCTAGCAACGGTTCGACCGCTATTTGGTTAGTGGAAGGCCTTCCTAAAGCGAATGAGGTGCTTATGCTTATTTCCTTGAGTAATTCTGGGCTGCTCAAATGCAAAATCTGTGTGTTTCCCATTGAAAACATAAATGTTGAACCTGGAAGCCAAAGCTTATTAGTACCTGAAAGCCAAAACATTAATGTAGTAATAAACAGCATCTAATATGTTATACCATACTGTTCTCTCCATTTGTCGAAGGATGGAAACACCAGGGAAGAGCAATTGTGGGTTATCTCCTGATTTCCTTCTTCCAATGACTTTGACCACTTGAATCTTATCTTCTTTATGTCCTGGAGATTTCCTAGTAAAAGGGACGATGGAGGACCCTCAATTCCTTGCTTTTGTAGCCTGGAACGAAGCCGTCGAGGCTTCAATATCAGAGCATCAAACAGACGTTTGATCAGGTTAATGAACCCGATCAACAGAATTGTCAGTAAGATCTTCACAAGCACCAAATGCAACTCCATAGCTTGGATTGACTCCCCTTGTTGTCTGTTTTTGTAGTTAGGTGGTGCGGCTGACGTCGATTATTCTCCTGGATTATAGAAATTTTTTGGTGATTCTAAAATGAAAATGAAAAGATTATATTCGATTAATTAAGATGTGATCGACCTGTTCCAAATTTGAATTGCCCGTAATTTATATTTAATAATTTCACGTGTTGTTGAGCATCGAGGTGATCTAAGACTTTTTTTTTTTTTACCAAGGAAAATTGCTGAAGTGGGAGAATCTTTTTGTGAAGGCCGGCTGGGAGCCACATTGGGGTGGGTGGGATGGAGGATGGCCCCAAGATTTTTTAAAATATTATCATTATTGGAGCTTGAAACAAATATATAAAAAAATATATATTTTTATATTTATATATGATCCCTCAGAAAACACGAATTATTCTTCATATATGAGTACAAATTTTAAGGTAAAAAAATATCGACCCTTAATTATCATCATCATTATTATTATCTAAAATGGGCCCCAAAAGGAATATGAACCCTCAACAATACACTAAGTATTATTTATATATATAATTACAATTGTTTACGTTTAAAGCTAAAATAATTTGGAATTTTGCTTGAATCATATTATAATCATCAAACGTTAGCATTTAGTAAATTTGATATTTAAATTTTGATATTTATAATTTTTTTTTATTCATAGATCCCTTCATATGTATAAAAAGAAAATTAAAGATAAAAAAATACAACAGACGATTAAGTCTTGAAGCTATTTTGTTTGGCGTTGATGTGGCATGCCACCACGGCCTTAGTTCGGTTGTAGTGGAGAGTGATTCATTGGTAGCCATTTCTAAGATCAAGCCTAGTGATAGTTTGTGGGATGGGCGAGGCCGGATGATAGTGGATATTCCGAATTTTGCTTCTTCATGTACTAGCTTCACTTTTGCTCACGCAAAATGGGGTGCCAATTAGTTAGCACACAGGCTAGCAAGATTAGATTGTGAGGTTGGTGACAATCGGCTCTGGGAAGTATTGTTTTGCTTTGTTCCTCATATTTTTTAGCTAATAACAACGGAGGAACCAACTTAAATTAATGTAAAATTAGAAGTTTTATATTTTTTTAATCATTTATTTAAATAAAGAGAGAAATAAGTTAAAAAATTATTTAATTTCATCAATTAAATCTATTAAAATTAATAATTAAAAAATATAAAACTTTTTAGTGTTATCGTGACATAAATGAATCCTTTCCTAATTTTTAATATTTTTCTATACATCAAAGGCATTTTGGGCAATTCTCCCACTCCACATCCATCCATGCTATTGGATAATTGTTTTGACATGCATTCTGTTTGTGGACCAAGGACAAGTTGGCTTAATTGACACGGTTGCCTTTGTCTTATATCTGATTTTGGGTTAAAATCTTATCCGTATTTTATAAAATTGGATTGCTGTTTTTACTTTTTACTTTCTATTACTTTAATTTTAATTATTTTTTTACTTTTACTTTTTATTAAAAAAATAAAAATGCAATTAATAAAGCATTAATCAAAACATTAGTCTAACAAGCGAAGAAATTTCCAACATTTGCATCTTAGGCGAGGGCCAAAGCGTCCAGTCCGGATTTTATCGAAAAAGAACATATTTTTGTTATTATTGTTTTATAGATTGAAAGCTTCTTGTCCTGGAGTCCCGGAGAAGAAATAGGTGGACCCTGACTAAGTTTCACATGGATAACAATCTTAGAAATAGTGTTCCGATTTTTTCTTTTTTTTTCTCTATATTCTAAACAGATGGCTGTAAGCTGCGTGGAAAGAGAGAAATCTGAAAACTCTTTAGAAATAAAATATAATTTTTATAATTTTATTTGTAATTAATTTATCATGTGACATTTTAAAAAATTAGATTGGATATATATATATTAAATGATGAATATCAGATTATCTACTCAATTTAAATTTTTGTTGAAACCTACGGCATGTCTGATCTTGGAATAAGATATCCTTCCTACCTAAATTTTTTGTAATAAAAAAAAATATTGGATGAGATTTTGAAAATCAATTATCTTAATAACTTGGATGGTAAAAGATTCTGCTAATTAAGTTCCTCCACTTGTAAATGTTGGCAAAGTTTGGGCTCAGTGGGCCTATTTAGGCTGGCTGAGATACTGTCTGCGCACTCTTTGGGCTGATGAGCTTGGATGGATAGAGACAGAGAGGAGACTTTTGTGCCTCGTTAAGTGGAGATTTCGGCCCTGACTTTCACAGAATCAAAGACAAAAAGAAAAAGAAAAAGGGGAGATTCGGCCGTCCTTTTAAATTAAATTATCATTTAATTTATTTTTTGTTTTGCTGGAAAGCTCAAAGAGTCCACTTTTAAATTAAATTACTTTCAATAAAAAATTCAATGTAATAAACAATGAAACAAAGTAACACTTGGTGGCTACAATCTCTGACCACGTGTCAATACCGATGAACACCGAAAAGAAATGTAAGAAGGATGAAACAAGGGAGGAAGTTGAAATTGCGGTTTGAAGCTACATGGGCCAATGAGGTTGATTGCAAAAAGGTGGTTAAAAACGCATGGAATGATACGTTGTATGGATGTGTACATGAAAACTTACAAAGGACAGGTGCCGAATTGAAAAGATGGCAAATGGGAAGGTTTAATAACATGAGGCAGAGAATTAATGGCTTGAAAAGGGAGCTGGAAAATTACCACTTGGAAGGCATGAATCATGAGGTGCTAGAAAGAGGAAGGAATATAAAGGAAGAGCTTAATGTGCTTCTTCAAAAGATGAGGTTTTTTGGCAACAGTTGGGTAAGGATATCTTGGATAAGGGGAGGGGATAGAAACATCGCATTTTGCCATGCATATGCTTCTTAGCGTAGGAAGAGGAATTTCATTAAAGCGCTAAAATATGAAAACGAGGATTGATGTGAGGAGGAGGATGAGGTTAAACATATTGCCACAAGCTATTTCATGAAACTTTTTCAGTCCAATAAGACCAATAATTTTGATGATGTTCTTGAGGCAGTGGAAACAAAGATTTCAGATGATATGAACACCTCACTTCTTGCAGAGTTCCACGCGGAGGAAGACCTAAATGCTGTTAAACAGATGCACCCAACAAAGGCCCCGGGCTAGATGGTATACCTGCACTTTTTTGTTAGAAACTTTGGAGTATTGTTGGAAATGATATTATTAATTTTTGTCTTGCATGTCTCAATAGGGATAGGGATTTAGAGTCCATTAACCAAACATACATTGTCCTTATTCCTAAGGTTAAAGAGCCTACCAGTGTTAACCAGTTTAGACCAATTAGCTTGTGTAATGTCATTTACAAAATTCTAGCTTAGGTTCTGGTCAATAGGCTCAAATCTTTCCTAACTTCCTATATTAGTCAAGCTCAAAGTGCTCTTCTTCCGGGGCATCTTATTTCTGATAATATTTTGATTGCTTATGAACTTTTGCGCACACTTAAAAATAAAATCCAGTGGAAGGATGGTTGCTTTGCGCTAAAACTAGGCAAGAGTAAAGTTTATGATCGAGTGGAATGAAATTTCTTGGCTAAAGTGATGACTAGGTTGGGGTTTCGTAGGCGTTAGATCAGTCTGATTATGAAATGTGTTACCTCTGTGTCATATGCAATAGTGGTTAATGGTGAAATAACTTATTCATTCAAACCAAAAAAAGGTCTTTGTTAAGGAGACTCACTTTCTCCTTATCTATTTCTAAATTGTATAGAAGGGCCATCATCCCTACTTCAGAAGTACCAGAATGAGGAGCTGCTTAATGGCCTAAAAGCAAGCAGATCTGCACCTAGAGTTACTCATTTGTTTTTCGCCGACACAATATTTTATTTGCAAAAGCAAATGGAAACGAAAGCGAAATGATGAGGCACATGCTAGGGCGGTATGAAGAAAGCTCTGGACAATGCATAAACTTTGCTGAGTCGGCTTTGTTTTTAAGCACTAATACACAGGATAGAAGTAAGGTGGAGGTTAAGAAGGTTCTGGGAATTGAGGAGTACTTAGGTTTACCTTCCATGGTGGAGAGGGATAGAAGGAAAGCACTCAGAGAGCTTAAAGATATAATGCGCAACCGGTTAGCCAAGAAGAAATTACCGTATGCTGTCACAAGGGGGAAAAGATGTGTATCTAAAATCAATTGTACAGGCAATTCCAAACTATGCTATGAGTTGCTTCTTGTTACCAAAGACACTATGCACAAAGCAAGGACAAAAGAAGAATCCATTGGGCTAGTTGGGAGACAATGTCTACACCAAAGAAAAAGGGAGGATTAGGCGCTTCCGTGAAATAGAGAAATTTAACAATGCGATGTTGGCGAAATAGGGGTGGAGACTGCTAGCAAATCAAACACTTTGGTGCATGAATTAAAGCCAAATATTACCCGAGGACATCAATTCTTGAAGCAAAATTGGATTGCAACCCTTCTTCAACATGGCGCAGCATTTGGAGTTCAATATCAACTCTAGAGCGGGGCACCATGTAGAGAGTGGGGGATGGGAAATCGATCGAGATTTGAAAGGACAAATGGGTGCCACACAATAAAGATTTCCTTATCCGCTCACAAAGAGGGGACTGGAATGTAGATGGTTTGGTGGAGCATCTTATCAATCAGAATACAGGCAGTGGAAACAAGAGTTACTGCAGGAGATGTTTGAAGTAGAAGTAGCGAAGGTCAAAAGCACAATACCTTTAAGCAGAAAAGAAAACTCAGATGTATTGGTTTGGCACTATGATAAAAGTGGAAAATATTATGTTAAATTCGGATACAAACTACTTTGTCATAAGGGATGGAGTACCATAATGCAAGGTACTGGTAATGAGAACGGGTTATGGGAGAATATATGGAAAGCAGCCCTTCTAAGCAAAATAAAAATATTTTTATGGAGGGCATGTCATGGCATACTTCCTACCCTACAGGGCCTTACACGAGGAGGAATTCTCGTTAATGGTTCATGTAGTAAATGCAATAATGGTGAGGAAACAACTCTTCATGCACTTAATGGTTGTGTTGTAAAAGGAATATGGCACCAACTTCAGTATAACTGGGATAGACAGGTTGAAGATGATAATGGGGGATGGACCAGCTAAAAGACTGGATAAGAGTACTGACTAAAGATCAGTTACTGCAGCTGGTTGT